GTCTCTGGAACTATGCTTAAACAGGTTAACCATACTGTTGTAGCTTTGATTCCCAAGACAAATCACTCTCCCACCGTCGCGGACTTCAGACCAATTTCGTGCACTAATGTCACATATAAGGTCATTACAAAGATCCTAGCATCTCGTTTAGGTCCAGTCCTTCCTACTATTGTCCATCCTTCACAGGGAGCTTTTGTTGATGGGAGAATGATGTCAGACAACATCTTTCTTGCACAAGAGTTAGTGAAAGGATATACTAGGAAAAGGGCTTCACCTAGATGTATGATAAAGGTGGATCTTAGGAAAGCCTATGATACCATATCGTGGGAGTTTTTGGAAAAAGTACTTAGAGACATAGGTATCCCAACAATTTTTGTCCATTGGGTTATGGAGTGTGTCACAACCTCATCTTTTTCAATTTCCATTAACGGGGTACTCCATGGATGGTTTAAAGGGAAGAGGGGGTTAAGACAAGGGGATCCTATGTCACCTATGCTTTTTGTGTTAAGTTTGGAATACTTCTCTCGGATGTTAGATCGTAGGACCTCAATCCCTGCTTTTAACTATCATCCTTTGTGTTCCCAACTAAAGATTACACATATTGCCTATGCGGATGATCTTGTTTTGTTCTCAAAAGGGAACTATAATTCTATAAAGGTCTTGGCCGAGGCATTGGAGGACTTTGGCATGGTATCCGGACTCATGGTTAACCATGACAAGTCTAACATTTTCTTGGGAGGAAATGTGGTCAATGCATTGCCTAGAATTCTTGAATTAGTAGATTTTCAACAAGGATCGTTTCCGGTAAGGTATTTGGGCATTCCATTGGCACCATTAAAAATCTCGGTGGCCCAATTCTCTCCTTTGATTGATACGGTCACTGATTATATTAATGCATGGAATACTAAAACTTTGTCTTATGCGGGTAAACTTGAGTTGATTAGGGCTGTCATGCAAGGGGTTCAGTCTTTTTGGTTGGGGATTTTCCCGGTCCCTAGAACTATACTTGATAGAATAGTTGGCTTATGTCGTATTTTCCTTTGGGGGGGGAAATTTGCAAAGGTTGCTTGGGAAGATGTATGTCTCCCCAAAGAGGAAGGGGGTCTTGGCCTAAAGAATGCTAGAGTGTGGAATGATGCACTCCTCTCTAGGACCCTATGGAATATCCATAAAAAACAAGATACACTTTGGGTAAAATGGGTTCATGGAGTCTACCTCCATGGGAGGGATGTGTGGACTTTTGTTCCACACAATAGGGACTCCCGATTGATGAAGAGATTAGTCTCGATCCGTGACTCTATTGTCTCAAAGTTCCATTCTATGAACTTGGTTTTAGACTTTTTGGAGAAAAATTCCTTCAATGGGAAGTTATCAGCGGCCAAGGTGTATGATCTACTTAGAATTAGAGCCATGCCAAAGATATGGATGTCGTTTATTTGGAGACCATATATCCCTCCCAAATTCTCATTTATTATGTGGCTAGCCTTGAGAAATAGGCTACCTACCTATGATAATTTGGGTTTTCTTGATGTGATTAAACTGTGTCCTTTTTGCAAGGGTGGTACGGAAACGGTTCCACACCTATTTTTTTGTTGTAATATTACAGGACAGGTATGGAAAAGAGTGAGACATTGGCTTGGGCTAACAAGAGAAATGACTACACTAAAGAGTGCAATAAAATGGATTAAGGAGGAACACAATGGAGCAAACATAAAGGCTAAAGCTATTAGGATCTCCTTATGCTATACGGTCTATTGGACATGGAGGACAAGAAATGCAATTTGTTTTGATGGGGCAGCCCCCAAGGTGGAAGAAATGTTTTTGCACATAAAGTATATGGTGTATAAATTGCTTTATATCATGTATCCGGTGCATATGATCAACTTTTGATACATTTGGGATTGTGTTTTCACCCACTTTTTGTCACAGCTAGATGGCTGATTTTTGGGGTGGATAGGGGGCTTTGATGGCTGCCTATCAAGTGTAGATGGTTACGGCATCCTTACTTTGGATTGCTTGCAATTTTGCTATGATGTACATAAACACTTTTTGATAAATATATTTACATTTCATCAAAAAAAAAAAAAAGTACAATAAAAGTGAAGCAAAACATTAACACGCATTCATTAATTCAGTACAATAAAAGTGAAGCAAAACATTAACACTCATTCATTAACTCATAACCTAGAAGTACACAGGCCATGCCTTTACTTCAAAAATACACTTTGTTTAGTGATAACTTACAAGTACAAAGGCCAGGCCTTTACTTCCAAAATACACATTGTTTAGTGATAACTTACAAGTACAAAGGTCATGCCTTTAATCACAAAATACACATTGTTCAGTGTTGACCAAAAAAGGAGTAAAGCCAAATACATCAAATTAAACACCGATACGGCCATTTGTGCTCCCACAGTACATTGTTCATAACATTGCAAATTACAAAATCAACTTGATTATACATGAACCACATCAAACAAAGTCTTAGTTCACCCCCTCCACATCATCTCCAGACCTGCCTCCTCGTAACAGTGTTTCTCCAATCTGTCCAGGATGCAATAACACAGATATTCAATAGGATTAATAATACACACAATTAAAAAATAAACATTACACACCCAATTGAAATATAACTTACATCCAAAATGGTATCACTCGTTTGTTCATTAAAATAAACCCCAAACCCCTTCTTTGCTCCTCCCCTGTCCCTATTACCTCTCCCCCTCCTACCTCTTACACTTGTTTCACCTCTCTCATTTATTCTTCCCCTCTTAGGTCTCCCCCCGTCACCCCCCTTTCACCTCTTCCCTCCCTGTGAGGTCTCCCCCTCTATCAGCTCTCCCACCCCTCTCAGTTGTTCCTCTTCTCTTAGTTGCACCTTCCCTTCAATTGTGGTAGCTATTTCACCATGTGAACAAGATTTTCTGTTATGACCTTCCCATTTACACTTTGAGCATGTCATGATTCTTCCCTTCCTTGGCAGATGTGATCCTCTTGTAGCAAGGTGCATGGGATTCTGATTCTTACACTTTGCCCCTGGCTACAATTCTTCTTGTGCTGTACCAATTGGTCCAGGTAAATTTACTTCTTCCACCAAAACAACTTCAGCTATTGCATGTTCTATAAAAACCTTACATTTGCCACAACTTCTGGCGAGATCAATAAGATGTAGTGCAGAATTATCATCAAAGAGCTCATGTAATGACTCCATTAGGGCACTTGGTTTTTTATAGTACAAACCACTAATGTTGCCATAACTTTCACACTGTAAGAACTTCTTCAAATGAGGATAGCTCATCACATCAGGATCAACAAGTATAGAATCTATTGCTCCCCCAACATACATTTTAATGAGGAACAACAACAAAATCCCCCCATGGCGAATTATCAGTTCCACCGTCTCAAACATCCTATAGATCACAAACCATTTATGATTTCAGTTCTACGTAATGCACCATGCATACAACATTGGTGTGAAGTACAAATAGGTTATTTCAAATTGAATACCAAATGATAGCCTATGGTAAAACATATAAATCAATCCTTACAACATGCATAAAACACTAAATCATCGCCTGGGGTAAATGAAGTACGCATATTAGTTCGGGACTGAGAGTGAAACATATAAATCAGTTCGGGAATGGAAGTGAAGTACACAAATACGTACCTTACTCTTATTCGCTCTGAGATTCAAGTTCTTTGATCCTACCACTTTCGTCCACGCTCACTCATGCCCTGACCGTATTTCAAGATCGGTGAACTTGAAGTTAGGGATTGGGGAAGTTCAATTTGGGGTTTGAAGAGGAGAGGGGATTCCGTAACAGCAAAAATCCACGTCAGATTAGTGGCCAGGTAAGTGACGGCCACATCTGCATCCATGTCAGCTGGTAACGAGAAAATCGTCTGCTTACCGGATAAAAAGCCTAATTGGGTGTTTCTTGAGAGTAAACGGACTTAATTGGGTGATTTGAGAGTGCAGGGGCTTAATTGGCGAATTGGTAAGAGTAGGGGGCCTATTTGACAATTTTCTCTTATTTATTTAATAAATATGATTAAGTTGGAACCTTAGAATGCCATAAATTACATGCAATTAGAAAAATGTCACTTTTATGATATTACATTTATCATCAAGATGACATTGTGTCATCAAACTGACATTGTTACTCAAAAACATGGTAGTCCCAGCTTTTCTTACGGCTGATGCAGAAAGAAAGGAGATGAGCTGCTTGGTGCATGTGACTTCCCAGCTTTTCCTATGGTTGGTGTGCTTCGTCGACCCTGGATTGCTTTAAATTAGTGGACACTTCATTAATTTAGTGTACCCTTCTAATTTGATATACCCGATTGGATTTGCCTACATATTGTATTAAAAAATATTAACAAATACATAGCATTAAAATTTAATACATAGCAATATAGAAAATTAAAGAATGTAAAATCGTGCATTTTATTAAAATTTATTTCAATTTGAACTCAAATGTGCATTTTTAACACTTACCAAAAAATCAATTCACTTTTTAATTTTTCTTACATCTGATATTTGATTTTTAAATCACAATTATTGGTAAAAATTAAAATATCACATATATATGTGTGATAAAAAAGTAAGCATTTACGCATTTAATTAAAAAATTGTGCTCAGTGAATGTGAATATATTGACAGTGTTGGTTTCAGGAAAAAACAGAATTGCTTGAGTGAATACGTATAAACTGGTGGGGATTAAAGATGTTTTTACTTGAACTAAAATTTTCTTGTCTGGTCTGAACTGATCTGTTATGATCTAGAAAATGTCTGGTCTCTGCGTATTTTATAAGTATTTAAGTCTGGTCTGGTATGATCTGTTTTGGTCCGGTCTGAACTGATCTGGTCTAGTTTGGTCTCTATGTATTTTATAAACATCCAAGCCTGATCTTGTCTGTTTTAGTCTGATCTGGTATGGTCTGATTTGAGACTGAGAACGGTCCAAGTAACATTTGTGGACTGTGTTGGGCCTTGGGCCTGAGAACCGTCTTTCAAAATGCGTGTATCTACCGCAACACCGACTCCACTCTGTCCACATCTTTTGTTGCACCCTTCGACATCTAGATTAAGATTAGGTTTAGCCGCTTTCAAATTGTTTTTTCGATCTATCGAGCTTCTGGCATCGTGGTCTAGCGAGTCTTTGAAGTTTTCTGTCGCATAGTACGGGTAAGTATGAATCCTCTGAGTTACCCTTTCTGGTTCGTGATTTCATCGATTACTATTCTTTTAACAAGTAGCCTTAATTTTGAAATTCAAAACCCTCCAGCGTTCGTGATTTCATTGATTTCATCGGCTCACACACTTGTATGCTGGAATATAATTGCATCGTATAAATGTTAAACGATTTTTGGATTTCTGATGCTACTGATATATAAATCTTTTATACGTAGTAATCAACAATAAGTATGTCATATATTAACATTTCTCATATCTAGAACTATACTTATTATAATGAGTATAAAACTTTGAACAACAGTTCTATATTCGATTTGATTCTTAGTGTACCAATCTTAACGCAAAAAAAAAAAACTTGCCAAATTTGAAATCCCAGTCTCTTATCCCCGTTCAGTTGTTGAATGTTGCAACGGACTTTCTAAGCTTCTACGCAATCTCTAAATAATCCTAGTTTTTATCTAAGTTTCTTGCTGTAAATATTCATGAGTAGTGCACAATAAACATGCTTTATTCCTCATAACAGATTTGACTTCTTGACTGGAGGAAAAATAATGTTTGAAAAAAATTGAGTGAGTACTCAGGCATCTTCTGGAATTATGTTGTTTAGATTTGCTTAACCATTAGAATTATTTGTGCAGATAGGCTGGACTGAGCAGCACTAATACTTCTACATCAAAACTATAATACAACGTTATGATATGATATTGTTATTTGGATTTTTAGAGTATTGCAAAGTTGCAGACTTGCAGTAAATAAATTTCTGCTCAATTCCCACCTTACTTTTTCTTATAGCATTTGGACCAAATGAAAGCAAATAATAAAAAATTGACAAATGTGTTAGCTCTCTGCATGTGTGGCTTTTTAGCGGCGGTTGATTTTTATACAAAGGAAACTGCATTGTATATAGATTATATCATCTTCAAATCAGAAGCCTTACTTGCGCTGCTTTTTATGTTGATGTACTTCAGTCAATTGCAGCCCATTTCTGTTTTTTAACTTAGTATTGACTTTTTGTTCAAACCAGGTCATTCCAAGAAAGTATCTTAAAAGTCTCTCACAATGGTAACTAAGCTACTTAGCCCTTTTCTTTCATGGTTTTTCTTACAATGAAGTACAGTATTAGTAATTACAACTACTTATGCAGGTGAAGTTCACGGCAGAAGAGCTTCGTGTCATTATGGACAGGAAGGAAAATATTCGTAACATGTCTGTCATTGCTCATGTTGACCATGGTATGTGAGAGTTACAAAAGTTATATGCTTATCCATATTTATGTTGTTTGAGCTTTCTCTGTAGGCAATGTGCTGATAATTCTTTTTTCTTTTTATTATTATGTCAAAAAACCAGGAAAGTCCACACTGACGGATTCCCTAGTGGCTGCTGCGGGTATTATTGCTCAGGAAGTTGCTGGTGATGTTAGAATGACAGACACACGAGCTGATGAGGCTGAACGTGGTATCACAATCAAGTCCACCGGAATTTCCCTGTACTATGAGATGTCGGAGGCAGAGTTGAAGAATTTCAAGGGACTCCGAAATGGGAATGAATACCTCATCAATCTTATTGATTCTCCTGGACACGTTGACTTTTCATCAGAAGTGACAGCAGCCCTTCGTATTACGGATGGAGCACTTGTGGTGGTTGATTGCATTGAAGGAGTGTGTGTACAAACTGAAACTGTCCTCCGCCAAGCTCTTGGTGAAAGGATACGACCAGTTTTGACAGTTAACAAGATGGATAGGTGTTTTCTCGAGCTCCAGGTTGATGGAGAAGAAGCATACCAGACGTTCCTAAGGGTGATTGAGAATGCTAATGTTATCATGGCTACATATGAGGATCCACTTCTCGGTGATGTTCAGGTTTACCCAGAAAAGGGTACAGTTGCTTTCTCTGCCGGATTACATGGTTGGGCATTCACACTCTCTAATTTTGCCAAGATGTATGCTTCTAAGTTTGGTGTTGATGAATCTAAGATGATGGAAAGGCTTTGGGGTGAGAATTTCTTTGATCCTTCTACAAGGAAGTGGTCGACCAAGAACACTGGCTCTCCGACATGCAAGCGTGGGTTTGTGCAGTTCTGTTATGAGCCCATTAAGACGATTATTTCCGCCTGTATGAATGATCAGAAAGATAAGCTGTGGCCTATGTTACAGAAACTTAATGTCACTCTGAAATCTGAAGAGAAAGAATTGATGGGAAAGCCATTGATGAAACGTGTGATGCAGACATGGTTGCCTGCCAGTAAAGCACTTCTGGAAATGATGATATACCACCTGCCTTCACCTGCCATTGCTCAGAGATACCGTGTTGAGAACTTGTATGAGGGACCACTTGATGATCAATATGCTAATGCCATTAGAAATTGTGATCCGGAGGGTCCTCTAATGCTTTATGTTTCCAAGATGATTCCGGCATCTGACAAGGGTAGGTTTTTTGCCTTCGGTCGTGTTTTTGCAGGTAAGGTCAGTACTGGGATGAAGGTCAGGATCATGGGTCCAAACTATGTACCTGGGGAGAAAAAGGACTTGTATGTGAAGAATGTTCAGAGAACTGTTATTTGGATGGGTAAGAAACAAGAAACTGTGGAGGATGTGCCATGCGGGAATACAGTGGCTCTGGTTGGTCTTGATCAATTTATTACAAAGAATGCTACTCTGACCAATGAGAAGGAGGTTGACGCACATCCTATCAGAGCCATGAAATTCTCTGTGTCGCCTGTGGTGCGGGTAGCCGTTCAGTGTAAGGTTGCATCTGACCTTCCCAAGCTTGTTGAAGGGTTGAAGCGCCTGGCAAAGTCTGATCCTATGGTTGTATGTACAATTGAAGAGTCAGGGGAGCACATCATTGCTGGTGCGGGTGAGCTTCACCTTGAGATCTGTTTGAAGGATCTGCAGGAAGATTTCATGGGCGGTGCTGAAATTATTAAATCTGATCCCGTAGTGTCTTTCCGTGAAACTGTTCTTGAGAAGTCATGTCGTACAGTCATGAGCAAATCTCCCAACAAGCACAACCGTCTTTACATGGAAGCGAGGCCGATGGAGGAAGGCCTTGCTGAGGCAATTGATGAAGGTAGAATTGGACCAAGGGATGACCCAAAAGTTCGCTCAAAGATTTTGTCAGAGGAATTTGGATGGGATAAAGACTTGGCTAAGAAAATTTGGTGCTTCGGTCCTGAGACCACTGGGCCAAATATGGTGGTGGATATGTGCAAGGGAGTGCAGTATCTTAATGAAATTAAGGATTCTGTTGTAGCAGGCTTCCAGTGGGCTTCCAAGGAAGGGGTCTTAGCAGAAGAAAACATGAGAGGCATTTGCTTTGAAGTGTGTGATGTTGTTCTCCATGCAGATGCTATTCACAGGGGTGGTGGTCAGGTCATTCCTACAGCCAGGAGAGTCATATACGCATCCCAGATGACTGCTAAACCACGTCTTCTTGAGCCGGTCTACTTGGTTGAGATCCAAGCACCAGAGCAAGCTCTTGGTGGTATCTACAGTGTTCTGAACCAGAAACGTGGTCATGTGTTTGAGGAGATGCAGAGGCCCGGAACCCCCCTTTACAATATCAAGGCGTACCTTCCTGTTGTTGAGTCATTTGGCTTCTCTGCCTCTCTTCGAGCTGCCACGTCTGGGCAGGCATTCCCACAGTGTGTGTTTGACCATTGGGAAATGATGACATCGGACCCGATGGAGCCCGGAACACCGGCTGCTGAACTTATTATATCAACCCGCAAGAGGAAAGGTCTGAAGCCACAGATGACACCGCTCTCCGAGTACGAGGACAAGTTGTAAGGCGTGATAATGATGATGACATGCTGAAGGTTCATCTATCCCTTCAGACATGCAATCTTTTCTGAACATTTTCTATTATAATTTTTGGTGAGACTGTTATTTTCATATGCTGTGACTTCCATTTCGGTGTAAGATGGGCCTCTCTTCTTTAGCCAATTTTAAATATATTCCTGAATTCTTTCTATTGACATTCACTACTGTTTTGGTAGTAGAAATATATCCATGCATCTTATCTTTGTAGATATCTGCGTTTGATGTCTATTTTTTTTTAAAAGAACAGAAACACAGCTGCCCCCAAAGGGCCATTATCTCTGAATTATTTGTGTGCGGTGATTAGCTTTATTTTTATTAAGAGAGAACACTATTGGTTTGTTGATGAGAGGCGCTGTAATATGTGCACTCTTTTTGTACAAACTTGTTTCGATAAAAGAATGATGAAAGTTTTTTTCGTGACATTTAAATATAAGGTGTCATTGTTAATGGGGTGACGTAAGCCCCTTAAAAAGCAAAAAGAATCGTGTTACAGCCTGATATTTTGGTGGGTAATGTTTTGGATCACCTACAACAATCACGTGAAGCTAGTCATGGACCCTGGCCGGGCCCGGCTGGGCTTTTTTTTGGGAAGGAAGAACCGGAATCGGCCCGGGCAGACACCGGTTCTGGGCCGGGGCGGGCCGGTTCATGTTAATTTTTTTTTAAAATTTCTTTTGCTTTTCTAATTAACCCCTGACTCCCCTCTTCACCCCCACCCCCAACCCCCCCAAAACACCCAAACCAACTCGGGAGAAACCAAAAAAATTGAAAAAACAATAAATAAATAAATAAATAAATAAATAAATAAATAGGTCGGGCCGGTTCCACTTTTAGGAGGCCCGAGCCCGGCCCGATTAATTCTGGGCTCGGGTGGCCCGAACCGGTCCTATAATTGGGTACCGGGCTGGGCTGGGCTGGGTCCAAACAGTACCTGTTCTGGGCCGGGCGGCCTGACCCGAGTCCATGACTACGTGAAGCTCACTATGAGATTTACCTTGTCACATTATGGCTATGTTTGCCATTGCTTCAAAATGATTATTGGAAAAGTGATTTATAGTAAAAGTGGATAGTTTTTGTAAATAGAAGTGATTATACAAAAAAAAGGTAAAGTTAGAGTGTTTGGTAAAAAAATTGATTTTTAATGTAGTGTTTTATTAAGGTACAAAATTACCCCTTTCACTAAAATGGTAAAAGTACACTACTCCATATACGGTCCACCATCTCCAATAGGCATGGACCGGTACTAGTCTGACCGGCTCGAGAACCGGACGGGACCGCCATTGTGTGGGCCCGGCTCAGCCCGGTGGAATTTAAGGGGGCGTTTCCGAGACTAGGGAAATAGGGACCGGTCCAGCCGGTCTGGGTCCGGTCCGGCCTTTTTATTTTATTTTTGTTTGTTTGGGGTTTGGGCCTAGGCCTGGACTCGGGCCGGGTCCGGGTCGGGCCTAGGCCCGGACGGGCCGACGGTTCAGAATTGGTGGACTCGGGACCGGCCCTGGTAGCCACCGGGACCGGTCCGGGGCCGGGCCTCCGTTTTTTTTTGCTTCCCTAACCCCCCTCACCCCCACCCCCCCAAACCCCTCCTAACCATCAAGCCCAACCCGGGTGGAACCCCAAAAAATGAAAAAAAAAAAATCAATTAGGCCCGGACCCGGGCCCGACCCGGCCGGGACCCACCCCCCGGACCTAGGCCCGACTCGGACCCGGACCCGAGAACTGGGCTGGTCCCGCATAGTAGTGGACCGGGCCGGGTGGCCCGACCCAAATCCACCCCTATTTGGGCCTATCGTAGGTGGGCTCGGCTGTCGGCGGGGTTTGGGGGTGGGGGTTGGAATAAATAAGAAAAACTAAAAATAATTAAAACAACCGGCCCGACCTGGTCCCGACCCGGCCCTGGTAGATTCCCGGGCCGGTGCCGGGCTTCACCTCCAAAAAAACCAAGCCCACCAGGACCCGACCCGGAACCGGAGTGCCGGACTGGGCCCGATCCACCCCTAATCTCCAATGATAAGAGAAATAAATGAATCAAATTTTGAGAGGCACTTCCTTCCATCAATGAAGCTTGCCAGCGCCACTATTTTCTTCTGTCCTTTAGAAGCCTTCAATTTCGTAACAACGTTTTTAATTCTGTGTGAGCTAATTACTTCATATCTCTCCCAAATATATCGAATAGTTTGGGAGGCTAAATTATATCTCAAATAATTGCTCTACTTCGTAACACAAACAGCCAGCTTCCATTAATGAATCTCGCGAGGTTAAAATAGCAGTTTCCTAAAAGGTGTGCCCATATTTCGTTCTTTGGCTTGAGAGACCCGATGGAGAAGATAGGCCAAAGAGAAGGACAAATCAGTCTATAGATAAAAAAATAGGAATAAAATTATCCTCAAACTTTGAGTTAATTACAAATTAACCAAAAAAGCATTTAAAAGCACCTAACTTGCTGCTTAAGGTCATCAGGTGTATGCTTCAGCTTTACAGTTTACACCAGAAAGCACTTAAAATTAAGTAGAATCTAGTCTTTGCAAACACTTTTATTAGCTTTTTTTTTTTAAACTAAAAAGTTGAAAAGTGATTTTAATAAGCAAATGCAAACACTAATTGCTTATGAATGAACGAACCCGTAGTGACTTTTCTTCTCATTACGTTTTTCATAATGAAGTGCTGAGTTTTAAAATGTATCCAAATCTTGAATATAAACATAATTCCACAATAGTCAATGTCAAATTTATGTTCCTCAAGAAACTCAGATTTCACATTTTCATCATTGCAGATACTTTTATGCACGGGAGCAATTTTTCCAAAATCACAAGCCTGTAAATAAGAAAAGTTCATGTTTGTCCTTTTATTTCCCAGGAATACAAATATGCCACATAAAATATCGACTGAAGGAAATAATTGTCACACTTCCAATTGTGTCCACGTTTAATAATCCAATGGTAATATATAATCTGAACTTAGTTGACCATATATTTCAAAAAGAGTCTCAATAAAGAAGGGGTTAGGTCAAGAATATTACTAATTAAAAGCATTTGGACAAAAATAAGTCATCTTTGAATGTTTACCAAAAATGTGACCATCCGTATAATCAATTAGTAAGCTTCGGATATAAATTATCAAATATGCCCCTAACTAATTAATCGATACGCACCAAACTAATTAAGATGCATACTTAGCATACCTACCCGTTTCTCGTGAATGTAATAGGCAAGTTACAAAAATTGACTTTCATATCCTCCACCAATTAAATTTATTAGTTGACAATTTATGGTTACTTAAAATCGGTTTTTATGTCCGATCAATTACAATTATCGTCATTAGTTACAGTTACCCGAACAATCAGATACAGTTACTCGACCCAACTAATTAAAGTTACCCAACCCGACCAGTTACAGTTATCTGACCCGACCAGTTACAGTTACCTCGACCCGGCCAGTTACAGTTACCCGACCCGGCCAGTTACAGATGACCACCGTCTTAGTTATTATCGCTCTAGTGACCACCGTCTCAGTTACTACTATTTCAGTGACCACTATCCCAGTTACTACCGCTTCAGTTATAGTTACCTGACCCGATTAGTTGCCCGACCAGTTATAATTACCTGACCCGACTAGTTACCCGTTGAGTTATAGTTAGTTAATCTGATCAGTTATAGTTATCTAACAAAACAAATTACAATTACTCAACCCGATTAATTCTAATTACTCAATTTGACTAGTTACAATTACTCAATCCGATTAATTACAATTTCTGGACCCAATAATTGCATTTACAGTTACAAACTGACCGCCCAACGGCAGTTTTTCATAAAAATATACAGTAACAGTGTCGTACAATAACAATGCCGCAGACACCACGCCGCCGCCGCCATGGCCACTGTGACACCATTGTTGCGCCGCCGCACCACAAACCCAACCCCCCTACCCCAACCCCCTGTTCCCCAGCCCGCACCTTAACCCCCTCCCCCTCTCCAGATCCAAGTCCAACAAGCCCATCCCAGCCCTGATTCACATACCGCACTTGGATTCTATCCCTTCGCTCTCAGTTGCGGGAATCGTCGCCATCCATGGGGTCTTGACAGAAGAGAGAAGAAAGAGGAAGTGGCTGGGTAGTGGCACAGGACGAAGTCGACGGAGCGGTGCGCGATGAAGACGGCGGGCATCAGCTGCAAGTGAAACGGAGAAGATTGCGGGAGAACCATAGATAAGGTTGCAGGTATGAAGATGTACGAAAATGGGGAGATATATGGCCATAGGTACAAACGATGAAAGAGAACATCCGTAATGATAGATGTTAAGGCTAATTCCGTAAACTCACACTGGAAATGGTCTTATTCATGGAAAAACGGGAAAGCTATCTATTTTTGTCTTTAGGTCTCCTGTTAGTATTATTGAGGTCATTCTTTCAATAAAGAAATGTGTTCTGAATGCCGCATTTCTGAAGTTCTCCTTCACATATCTCCATCTTTCGCCGCCTTTGTATTATCATATCTTATCATATCTTCTACGCGGCTTCTTTTTATGGAATTTTATCAATTATAAATCCGGAGACCTGAAAGATTAAACATATTAATATAGGGGCGAGTGATAGAAAACTACCAATTTAGGACCTAAATGATTGAAAATTATTAATCAAGGACCTAAGTTGTCATGAATTTTATTATTATTTTTATATTTTAATTTTAATTTTTAAATATTATTAAGTTTTATTAAACTAATAAACTTTTGCGAAGAAAAATTTATCAAAAATTAGCAATGGGATTAATAAAAAATTTAATTAATCAAAACCTATGAAATGTTAGGTCCAAGATTGATAGTTTTCCACCATTCGGGTCCTATTCATAGCTATTTTTCATGCATTTGTACAAAATTCTTAACTAGGTTTCGCTGTCCTCTTCACAAGTTGGATCATATCTCTTATTCATTGGGCCATTATTTAATAATGGGCTCAAGATAGATAAATTAATAGGAACAGCCCATTCTTTTAAAATTAAATTAATTGGATATATTTAAATGATCCAAATCAATCTAATCATTCAATATCATCTTAAAGGACCCATATTATTATCTTCCTCCGGATAAGGCCCAATAATTTTAGATTACTACACCGTGAAACTTTCGGATTAGTATACTATACAACCGGCTGTACGGTGAGCACCGTACAGCGAGGCCCAATGAAAAAATAGAAAAATAATTCGATGGTATTTTTGTAATTAATGTGAAAATTGTGGTTTTTGCTAAATGAGCATTAGTGTACTGTTAATGAGCAATAGTCCAATTTTAATGAGTATAAAGCATTTAATAATGAGCACCGTGTTATTACAAGAAATCTGATATCACAACTAAAAAACGGTGACATTTTCGTAATTTTAGTGAAAATCGAGATTTTCGTTAGATAAACACTAATACACGTTTAATGAG